TCAATGACAAAATCATGCAGAGAAGTATGTGCTTTATCCGAGTGCCATCTGAGTTAATGACAAAACCTCTTTCAGTTAGCAAGGTTCTCGTCTCAAGCGCTGCTCTACTGACCCTTGCTAAGGCGTTAACGAGGCTAGAGCAGCACAACATATGGCTTTTGGTAGCTCCTGACTGACTTTCCTATCTTTGGGTTGCCTTTCAATGCAGTGTTAACATACCTCGGGTCATTTTATAATGTCCTGATCATTGACTAGTAAGCTGTTATATGTTTTGCATGGTTGAAAATGTCCTTGTCCCTCAACACATCAAACCAAATTGATAAAGTAAGTGACACTGATGAGGAAGATAGTGAGGTTCATTGACCTATGATGCTCCACCAGTTTGCTTTCATAACCTTGGTATCAGGTTAGAAAAAATCAATGGATCACATGTCGCTGTAGTGGAAGTCGAGCATCTCTAGTTTGAATCTGGGTTTAATATTTTGACACATAGTGTATCAAGGTATCAGCAAAAAAACAATTTTCATCAAAATTTGAGTTGGCGAGGTTCCATTAGAGCACTGGCGATACGTGAGATCGATGGGAATATGAGCTTAACAGGCTGCAAAGCTGTAAGTCCCCTGGAATGAACACTGCCCATAAGGGAGATACTGTGAAGTCATGCAAGATTTACATAAGAGTAGTTGCAGCTACCAATAATCCCTTAAAATTTTATCTATGTCTACAGTTCAGTCTTTTGCACAGGACAGAGTTGTTAATTTTCTCAGTGACTAAAAGTTTAATATACTAGATAGAAAGAAACATAAAATCTTTAACTGTTTAAATTGCATTTGCACTAACCAAGTTCTAAACACATCTGGAATGCTCTCCAAACGATTAAGTTGTAATCCCTGGTCTTGTCAGTTCACTGAAGATTATATAATTGTTTATCACATAGACCAGTGGTATAACTTCCGCACAGAGTAATGAGTTCATTGGAAAAAGATGGAGAATATGTGACGAAAAATAAAGTAAAAGCTGATCTGTGTGACATTAATTCCAACCCCATCCATCCAGTATTGAGGACTGGCACACGGTAGTCCTTTCATACTTTCTTAAACAATACCACATTTCTGTCAGATAAGGATGTCAAATATCACGAAACAAAACAATATTATATTACAAAGTGTGTCTATACAATATTTATAAAATATATTACAAATTCATCTTCTAACCTACTGACATAAATTTGAGACTGAAATGAATTTTGTTTTCTTTTTCTCCCATCAGAGGATTAGTTTAGATATGTGTGTGAGAAAAATGTCTCTCAGGCAGCCACCATGATGTGCACAAACGCAAAATTGCCATGGGGATTGGAGGAAGGGGGGGGGGGGAGGTGTGTTTGGGAAGGGGTGTACACAGGATCATCTGTGTGGAGACATAACCCAATTATGCTGGCACAGGTAGAATAAGCTGTGATATTCTCAACACTATCAACTGTGTCAACAACACCTACGATTAGAGGAACAGGATGGGGTACATAGAGAAACAAATGACAGCACAACGCCAACTCTGATGATACAGCACAGACTTCTTATCATATCAATGATGGGGAAGTGTTGGTCTGCCATCAAAGCAACTTTTCTGTTTTCCATATCACCTCATGTGCTATGCTGACAAGGAATATTTATATAAATAATCCTTTATTCCTTTTCAGACACAGCACATTCTGAGACATTGAAGGAACAAAAGCTGTTTGATGGCAGGTGTTTGCTACACTCTGGTAGTGGCTAACACAAAAAGCTACATGAAAAGCACAGATTATGACATGGTGAGGCACTCCAATGATTACAAGTATTCCGAAAAACAGATCTACAATTCAACATTAAATTTGCTTTCAAGCACTGCAAAGCTCGTTTGATGGTAAGTCCAATTTATGAACCAAACAAAATCTAGTGAGATTTTCCTTTAAAAAGTGAAATAAAAACTAGAGTCCAATTTTTGACTGATAAAACACCCACTTATTATTATCAAAATATATATATAGCTCAACCCCAAAAGTTATTGGACTCCATTTCTTTGTATATCAACAAAATAAAGGTAAAAAAATTCAAGACTGACAGCAAAGATATGTATGCCAATACTGGCCCAGCTTGCCTGTCTCTTAATGTTTTGGAGAACTCAGCACCCCAATAACATTTAATTTTTAGCAGCCAGCAGTGCATGAAAGGTTCATTTAGCTATATTTCTATATTTCTACAGCATGATGACTCTCATAAAGTGCTCCTTAGCCATATTGTCTGAACTAACATAAACGAAAGCTATTCAGCCTTTGTCAATGCAAATTTCTAATGCTTATATCAAGAGAACCCATGCATTCATGCATTATCAGAGCTACAAGTAAAATGTGGTGATATAAAAATTAACTCAGAATTAAAGAGCTCTGTACATCTTTTCCCTCCGATTCTGATACTTGCTTTGATCAAATATTGAAATATCTTTCATAATTCAAAGTTTGTTGTCTCCCAACCACTGTTCTGTAACTCTGTAACCAAAAAACCATATCTTATAACCTGCTTTGGTACTTTTGTTACCTCTCCAAGACAATCACCTGTACAAGCAACCATTTCCCACTCTCCCCCCTCCCCCCTCCCCCCTCCCTGCAATTCTTTCTTTCTTTAACAAGACTGCCCAAAGCGTCCACTTGTGTGAAACAACTACCTTTCACCTCCACAATGAGGCCATTTTGGACACTTTCGACAGTGTTTTGTTTACATGCAGCAACCTATTTGTTTCTCCTGCTTATTGCATAGTATCTATTCTTTGTCAGTTCATAGAAATTCACCAAAAGTGACATCCCCAGAAGATTCATTCATGAACAAGACTGAAAAGTAGACACTTTCAAGTACCAAGCAGGTCATATTATGTACCCCAACCAGTCAAATATGGCTATGGAGCACTTTTTGACATTTCTCAGACAAACACAGGGTGTGGCAGCATGTCAAGGGAAAACATACATGAACTATCTGAACATCAAATGGAGACTTGTGGTGTGCGACTTGATGAAATAACAAATCCGTTATACGATTAGAACAGAGCTATGTACAAAAATGAAAGAACTACTCTCATGATGTCTCAAAGATATGAAGGAAGACATAAAGATGAAGAAGAATACCATATGGCCATTAAAAAGAAGTTTTCTTTACAACTCCATATGTCAAGAAAGTCTTCAAACAAAATTGTACAATATATTTAAATAGTGAGACACAGAATAATGCCTCCTTTACATGTCTGCCATTATGCAGGATATACTGATCATAACCATGAAAACATGTACAGATGAATGGCTATATCTTCTCCGAAGCATCACAGAGATCACTATGTACAAAAAAATGATATAATGATTCGACATCACTCAATATCACTGACTGCAACAGGCTCTACAGACAGAACAAGACACAAATTGAGAAGAAAAAAATGACAAAAAGGGCAAGAGAGGAATCATAAAGAATTATGCCTGTTCTTTTCAAAGATCACATTTACCCTTCAGTGAGTGCAAAAGGGGAAACTTTTAGATGTGATCATGTGCTCAGCAATAGTGCCGACAAATAGAGACTGTTCATAGAGTTCATAGGAGCAGCTTACAACACAAGTGAGCCTATCATAATCCACATCCTATGGAATGTGACAATGTGAAGCACAACTCACTTTGAGAGAAAGGAGTCTTAATGGTAGGCATAAAAGCTGGGAAAACTAGCAGAATGGTAGGAATAAAAAGCTCATGTGAGCTGTTCTTGACTGGATAACAGAAGTAAAATGTAAGAACAAGGGGCCATGCTTGTATTTATTTGACTTGAAAGGAGACAAAGGAAAACAAAAGAGGCTTTGCTTTCACAAACATACAGGATGTACATTTGTTTTGGAAACTGAAAAAGATGGAGTAATAAAAAATGTGCTCCTAATTTGTGAGCTCCAGAGGGACATTTTTAAGTTTGGCAAACGAACAATTAGGAGGATTTAACAAGCACAGAATGGATGTGAGTAGTCCTTTGAAATGTAACTGAAGTGGAAGAAAATAAGAAGTGCGTTCAGTATTCTTGTACTGCTACTAGTGCGATGATAGTATCTCATGCATGATCACAGATTCCCACAATTTTGTTTTCCATGGGTGGTACAAACAGTTCAAGACACAGAAGCTGACATGTACACTTACTACCAATAAGTTACAACCAACAGATGCACATACAGAAAGATTATGAAACAGGGTAGGACCATGCAATGAAGGGCTCTTGGTGTTAACATTCACTTCATGGTGACATGGTAGTGGAAGAAGTGCCTCAATCTACAGTACAACCCCCCCACCCCCAGCCTTCACTTAATCAATATGGCATGAAAAGAAAAAAAAAAACCCAACCCAGAAAAACAGAGTTCATACAATTGAAGTAAAAGTAGGAACTATAAACAGTGCAGAAGTTGAATGAAGCACACTTATCTAATAAGAACTACAGAAAAGGTTTCATATGAAAAAGAATATGAAAGATAGTATAAAAGGTCCCCCAAGCATCCAAACAACTGCAATCCAGCCAACAGTACATGAAAAGCCTGAAAATGAATCGTAGCCATCATATTTCACTTTCTTGGATGATGGAGCTAGGAGAAAAAAAGACAAGTTTTGAGTGTGCAGCTCCTGTCATCATCTGATTAAGAATGGGATAATGATAAGAATAATAAATGTTGTAACTATAAACTGGCTTTGAAAACAAAGACTGAAGAAATAAAAGGAAATATATAAACAAAACATAAAAAAAAGAAAAACAAAAGTCACTGATCCAGATAAGGGGGGAAAAACAAGGTTCAAGAAGAGAGGGGGATTAGAAAAAAAACAAAAACGGAAAATGAATGCTGAAGACGAAAAAAATCATGAAAACTTAATGGAAAAATAGCTTGATGTTTTAGAGGAGGGCTTAGTGTTTAAAAATACTAGCTGCCCAGTCTGACTGAATGACAGGGAGAAGTCTCAC